ACTACCTATGTCCTCGGTTACTATTCGATAATAACTTCGCCACCATAATTCCTTCAAGAGGAGATTGGGAGGCGGGTTTGCCTACAACTCTAGGAAAGATAGCGATCTACACCGACGGGTCTAAAATGGATGAGGGCGTTGGAGCCGGAATCTTTTCTACGGACCTAATGATTAGTAAATCATACCACCTCTCAGATTCCACCTCAATATTTCAGGCTGAAGTTTTTGCCATCCTTAGGGCATGTGTTCTTGCTTTAAATATGCGCCTTCACGGAAAAGAGGTCTGTATTCTAACTGACAGTCAGGCAGCTATTAAAGCTTTATCAGCAGTCTGTCTGTCATCAAGATTAGTAGAAGAATGTAAGGAAATTATTTCTGAACTAAGTGAGAGGTCCAAGGTTACTCTAGTGTGGGTTCCCGGGCATTCTAATATTGTGGGAAATGAGCGCGCCGACGAGCTTGCTAGGCTAGGCGCCTCTTCCACGGGTACCCCTATTTCGATCCCTGCCCCTGTCAGCTACGGGCGTAGGCTAATTTGTGACCATTTTTTGCGAAAGGCAAATAGTGAGTGGACCCTTACTCTGTCAGCAGCCAGGTCAAGGGCTACTTGGCCCATTTATTCCAAATATAGAACCTCTGACTTAATCTGTAGAAATAAATCTGAGGTTTCTAAGCTAGTATCTATCTTTACGGGTCACTGGTCCATAGGACGGCATGGAGCCAGACTTGGCCTTTCCTGTGGTACCTCATGTAGTGCGTGTCTACCAACACTTGAAGAAATGACACCAGAACACCTGATGTGTTTTTGTCCAGGTCTGGCCAGAACTAGGTTTAAGTTTCTAGGGGCCCCTTTCTTCAACTCACTTAGCGATATCTCCAGCATCAGCATTGGCCAGATTCTTGCCTTTGTTAATGCCTCTGGCTGGTTCTAGTTTGACTCTCTATCTACTACCCACTTTTACGAGGTTTTTATGGACTCAAAACGGCTTTCATCCTTAGCTATTTGAGGAGGATTCGTCCTCCCTCCACCACAACTAACTAACTATTCTGTATATAAATTAAATTATAATTAATTCTGTGTATAAATTAAATTATATGAATTGTGTTTTTTTTTTTGTCAATTATATCTAGTTAAATAGTTTTTTCGCCTTTGTTGATATTTATGGCAGATAAAAAAAATACGTCATATTTGTTCCACAGGTAAATATAGCTAGGTACAGCAATGAAGCGGTGACGTCATCTCAACAACTGCAGTAAGTACCTCTTTTTTTTTTGTTTTTGTTTTTTACTTTTCCTTGTTTTTTTTGAATGACTAAATATTAATGAAAAGGTATTTAAAGTACATTACGATTCAAACCTTTCTTTTATAAATTTAAAAAAAAAGAAAGAAAAAAAAATTTTTTTAAGTCCAAACATAAGTTAAATTATTAAACCATAATTTATTTATAATTTAGTAAATTTATATAACTTGTAGTTTTTTTATCATAGCAATTTTTTTATTAAGTTTTTTTTCCTTGAATACAAAAAAACACAAATGTTGATTCTAAATATAAAACTAATTATTGAATCATAATTTAGTTGTAATCTAGTGAATACATAATAGTTGTAGTTTTTATCATACTGACTTTTCCTCGTAAGACTTTTAAAACGTAAATAAAGTTTTTTTTTTTTTTTAAATTGTTTTATTATATATGGTATTAAAGAACATAAATAAAACAAAACAAGACATAAAGCAACTAGTTATAGATAACTAACAAGCAATTTAAATTTAAACAGATTAGGCGATTCCACGCAATAATGAATTAACTGTAGTACATTTCAATGATTTAAGCCCAAAGATCGCACGGCTTTTGGCGCTTTAGACGGCGAATTGGCTCAATTGTCGCTAGTAAATGCGCCTCAGCATTTATGTGACAACTAAGTCTATCTTGGTGTGATTTGGCTTTGGTATGAATTTCTTCCTGTACTGTTGACACTCCGAGGTCACGATGTAAGTCAGAATTTCTCACGTACCATGGTGCGTTTGTTACACTCCGTAGCATGAAATTTTGGAATCTTTGAATGATGGAAATTTGTGTTTTGCTTGCGCAACCCCATAGCTGTATTCCATATGTCCAGATTGGCTGGAGCATTTGTTTGTATAATACAAGTTTATTGAAAAGCGATAGTTTTGATTTTTTACCGATTAACCATTTCAACGATTTGAATTTAAGATCTAATTCACTTCTTTTCTTTTTTATGTGCTCGCTCCATCTTAGTTTAGCGTCCAAAGTCATACCCAAGTATTTCGCAGTATTCGCGTGAGGGATTTGTGCTGCATCGATATAAACAGGTATATAACTAACGCTTCGATTTTTGAAATTTACATGCACTGATTTTTCTTTATTAAAATTGATTTTCCATTTCCTTGTCCAAGCAATTATACTGTCCATACTATTTTGCAAACTATTAGCTGCTATTTCAGCGCTTTCTCCAACTGCAAGGACTGCAGTATCATCAGCAAAAGTTGCTGTGAACGTCGTTGCACTCGTTGGCAAGTCGTGTGTATAAATGAGATATAAGAGAGGACCCAAGATACTACCTTGCGAAACTCCAGCGTTAATTTTATACAATTTGCTATAGGCATCACCGTGCTTTACTCGAAAGTAACGATCAGATAAGTAAGAGGAGATTACGTCATAATACTCCGTTGAGAGAATATTTCTTACTTTGGTAAGCAATCCGGAGTGCCAGACTTTATCGAAAGCCTGCGAGACATCTAAAAACACAACTGAGCAGATTTTTTTTTCCTCAAGAGCTTTTTCTATTACATTGATAAACCTATGGACTTGATCTATAGTGGAGTGATTGCACCTAAAACCAAACTGATGTAAAGGTATTATGTTTTGACTTTCAATCAGAGAAAGGATTCTTTTCAGTAAGACTTTTTCAAATATTTTTGAAAGTACAGGCAGAAGTGCTATTGGTCTGTAACCACTTACGTCATTAATATCCTTTCCTGGCTTATGTACCATGATAATTTCAGATACTTTCCACAGGGATGGAAGGGTTCGCATCTGTATTATAGCGTTAAATATATTCGTAATTTTAACTAGGCATTTTGCAGGAATTTCTTTTAAAACTTCAGCACTTATCAATTCATAACCTGGGGTTTTTTTTAGCTTAAGTTCATTTTTAATAATCATCATTACCTCAAGCTCGGTGGTTGGTGGAATACATGATGAATGTGCTGTCCTAGGAGGGCAGATTACTGCATTGTTAACGTTTTCGTCTATGGAAAACACTTTTGACAGGTGTTCGGAAAAGACCTCCACTTTTTCCTCATCGCTTTTAGCCCATTGATTAGCGTGATTTTTAATTGGAGCTTTGTGTACTAAAGGTCGCTTAAGGTTTCGTGTGCATTTCCAGAGTGAATAGTTGGTAGCACGATCGTTACTTAAGTTAGATAGGTAGTAGTTGAATTGATTATTTTTAAATTGCTTGATTTTTAGGCTGAGTTCTTTTGCAAGTCTGTTAAGAATGGTTTTGTCTGCTGGAAATCTGGATTGCTGCCACTTTTTCCGCATCTTTCTTTTTTCCCCGCATAAGATCCACAATGACTTTTGGGTATTTATGAGGATAAGTTGCATTCCTTAATGTGGGCGTGCTGCACCATGCCGCATGTTGTAGTAAATTTGTAAGGTTCAAAATTTCGCTTTCAAGATCGTTTTCTCCACAAATTTCTTTTGTATCAATAGTGTTTTCATTAAGGATTCTTCTGAAGTAACTCCAATCTGTGTATTTATTTTCAAGTTTTAGACATTTTTTATTTATTAAGGCAGATTCGAAGAATGTTCTTCTCTCTTCTCTCTCTTCTCTCTACCTTTTCTCTATTAAGGTAGAGAGGGGAATGGTCGGAGCTAAGTTCTGCTCCATCTGTTATTTTTAAATTGTAGGACGAAATTTGCTTGGTTATAAAGAAATCGAGTAGATCAGGCACCTTTGTTGGGTCAGTAAATAAAGTTGAGTGAATAAGTTTATATTGCTTTGTCATATATTTTTAATTATTGCAAACTCTCTAATCAGATTTTGTAAATTTTATACTGAACGCTGGTATACCCTGAGTATACCCTAGCCTTGGAAAGTGCCAGAAAAGGTCATTACAGCATGATTGTAACCGATTTTAAAGTCTACCCAAAATTAAAAGGTTTGATTTCTAATTAGACATATATTGAGACCACCTCGTACTAATAGCCTTGTCGGCAATAGGTGCTTTCGGCAGCTTTTAAGTGTTACAATCTGTTAAATGTCATGTGTTTGCAAAGACCAAATCTTACATATGTGCACATAAGGCAAGTGTTATTTACTTCTTAATTTTGTATAAAAATAAATAATGAAACTAAAATTAAAAATTAAAATTAATAAAGAACTAAAATGAATGAATGCAGGAAATTTTTAAATTTCCTTTTAAAACAAAATTAAAAATAGTTTCGAATATTTATACCAAATAAGTTTAAACTTGTTTGCAACTAACAAGTTAAAAATTAAAAACTTATAACATTTGAATGGATTATATCTTGAAATTTCCAATGAAGGTTCACAATAGTTCACTTATTATGTTGGTAACAGTTTTTTCTTTACTTGCCAAAATGTTTGGCCACTTCACAACCAAATGCTTAAATAGAGAAAGTAGGGTTGTTGTTTTGCGTACATTGTAGCAACTTTAAGCGAATAACTGATTGTTTTTTATCACACTTACAAGCTGCCGAAAGCGCCTGATGTATATAAATATATGTAAAATAATATTCAAAATTAAAATTATGTTAATTAAAATGTTTTAAATCCTTATTTTTTTCAAAATATTAAAAATGTGTAATCATGAAATCATGTTCGCTTCATGTATACATCATGTTTGAATAGTTGTGAGCTGAAGTCTCCAAGTACTTTACTCTCAGTGTGGCTGGAGTCTCCGTTGTGTGACAAATACTTTGGTTAGTTAACAATTGAGTTTCCATTCTTATTATATGTTCTTTGGCAGAGCGCACAGTTGAGTAGTCGCTTTTGTACACTGCCTGAAAACCAAAATTATTGGCAGCATTTGAGAAGTCATATTAAGTTACATATATCATATTTGCGAAAATTTGGTGATAATCAAGCGAGAGGGTTGTTGATAATATAGTAATTTATTTTTTTTGTAGGACGTGATAATAATCTTTGAGAACGCTATTAAATTAAGTTACAAAATGTCGTACCCACCAAGACCACCAATGCCGCCTTACATGAATCCGTCTATTCCACCGCCTCACGTAAGTTGGGCGCTCTGCCTACAAAATTTCAGTAAACCTATTAGATATATTTTTTTATTATACAGTTAATGTCGCCTTTGGGGAATTCAACAATTCGTACTTTTCGCAACTCCGCAACAATAAGTTCGCAGCCTACAGTGTACCAACGCCCGCCTGACACAGTGCCACAGTTCAGAGGCCCAATTATTACTGTGTTTGTTGGTTAGAAAAATGAATATGTGTGCAAAGCTTTTAAAACAAATATTCTATATTTTATCTTAGGAAACATTAGTGAACGAGTACCGGAGGTGCTAATTAAAAGAATTCTGTCTGCATGCGGGGCTGTTGTTAACTGGAAGAGAGTATCGACTTTTGGATTCTGTGAATATGAGTATGGCTTCTGTTTAGTTATTCAAATTATAAACAGAGTGATAGTTTGTTATATGTAAATATTTTTAGTGGTCCTACCGCTGGAATGCGAGCAGTTCGATTATTAAGTGAATTGGAGCTTGATGGAAAAAAACTTGTAGCTAAAGTGGACGCCAAAAACAAGCTCCTTTTGGATAATTTCAAAGAGGAGGAATTAAAAAATGGGTTATCAGAAGTTATAAATGAAGGTGCTGAGGATGAAAACGTTCTTAGTCAGATTAGGGTAATACTAATGGAACATAAGCATGAATTTGATGATTTCGATTCCAATGCTCGTAATGATGTATTTGCCAATCGAAGTAATAAATTAAAAACTAATCGACAAGATGATGTTAAAATGAGCAAAGTTCTACATGAGACAAATTTAGAGGAAGAAAAACGTAACTTGATTAGCAGTGAAATAGGGAAATTTCGTAAAAGAGCTGAAGCTGATGAACATAGAAAAGAAAAGGAAAAAGAAAAGGAGCAGAAAAAAAAGGAAGAAAAAGATAAGGAAATTATAAAGTCGAAGGGTAATACGAGTGATCAGGATTGGGATACAGATGAAGACGTCATACTTACAAGCAATGGAAGGAAGGAGCGCGTAATTGAAACGTCACCTGCACGTAAGGAAAGATTCCGTGATATTAAGGATATTAGACGTAAAAGAACCCGATCACGATCTAAAGATAGGGAGCGTGAATATAGAGAACGTGAAAGAGAGCGTGAAAGAGAACGAGAGCGGGAAAGAGATCGAGAAATGCGTGAAAAAGAACGAGAGAGGGAAAAAGAACGGGAAAGGGAAAGGTAAACATTTATGAACTTAATTATATACGTATTTATAATACGATACTTGCTAATCATAGTGTATCAAATTTGATGAAATTCGAAATGAATATTAATTCTATTATATTCGATTCTCATGTTCAAAATATTTGATTCGTTTGAATACAATGCATTGTATGACTACTTTAGTAGTATCGAATGATGTGCTCAGAGTATGAAACAAGCTGTATAGTACGCTATTTTTTATAAAGTTCCGTATTTCTAAAATTACGAACCAAAACCTACGTTAAATGCACACCAAATAACTTATGTTGTTGTTGTAACCCGCTGGGTCAAATAACTTATTATTAATGTAAATGTGCGCAATTTTTGCATGAATACATCTACTTTCTTATGTGGAGGAAACAAAAACCCTTTTAGATTTTAATTCCTCCTAAATTAATAATTTGATTGTGGAAATTTAAGTACCTTAATTTAAAAATTAAACATTTAAATTAATCAGTTGATTTAAAATAACTTTCTTACTTAGAAATACACACACTTAGGTCTGTTGAAATTCCACTTCTGCAAATCGCAAACGCAAGATCAAACGATTTACTTACGTACCTAATCCTGTATATTTCACATCCTGATTTTAAGCACTAAGAAATATTTATGTCTCATCCATTTAGTAAATCAGACTGTTATTAAACAATATTTTTTTTGCGAAACATATTGTGGAAAGGTTTTGGAAAGTAGTGGACTACAACACCAACAATTCTTTTTATATTTTTTTAATTAGTTGAATTTCTAGCTGACCATACAACTGTATAGAGTATTGCCGAATACACATCATTAATGGCCTTGACATTATTTTTTATATTTAATTATTCGTAAATAAATTTTTTGAGACTGCAAGTACCAAGGGTTGAACTCGTGCTCTGCCAAATTTGAAGCTCACAGTCAGTGTTCATTAGCCAACTGTGGTTTATTATAACAAAATCATTTACCAGCTGTAGAATAATTGAACTAATTAATTATATTTTTATTCGGTCAATTTCAATACTATTTTATAGAGGACTATTTTGATATTTGGCAGTTCTCGCAACAGCTGTGTGGTCAGCTAAAAATTTAATTGATTACAATAAGATAAAAAAAATGTTTGTTGTTGTACTTTAGTACTTTTCCAAACCTCTCAATTAAATACGACAGTTTCTATCAAAGTAAAAATAGTCACTTCTGTCATATTGACGTTAAAATCAAATTTATGAAGTATTGTGTTAATAAAATAACTAAACTGAAAATCCAAAAACACTGAAGAATAATTGAATTTTTTATTGATTTATAACATATAATAAAGCGAGAAAACTCATTTACTTTTCAGTTCGCCAACATAAAGCAAATGAATTGAATTCACAAAATTCTTGTATTTTACGAATTCAGAAATAGCTCCTTAAAGCGTAATGCCAAAATTTTTGTTAACCGAAAATGTTAACGGACCTAACAACCAATTTTGAAGTATTTTTATATTTTCTATTGTTTTAATTGGAAATTAAACAATTTAACAATAGCTGAATAAATATTGAAAAGCCTTTGTCATAACATAAAAAGATTTGTCAAATTTTGAATCGTGCCTATTGTTTTCATACTTCCTAATATTATATAACATAACGCAGTGACGCGAATGCCAACTGTGAGAACTTATATTGTATTATATTATGTTATTTGCAATTAGGCACCACTCGCTAGTGCAACTAGGCAAAGCTTGCAATTAAAGGAAATGGTTAACTCTCATTAAATTACGGGATATTTATACTACAATTTTGTAACGATTATTTGTAAAAATTCGCCCTAACGTATTGTTGTGTTTAAATGTACACTTAAGGCGATTCAACAGCTCTTAATATAAATTTTGCTAACGATAATACAGCTTAAAAATGTCTTTGAAAAGGCTAAAGGGGATAACTGGATGAATGACTGGTCGCAATGTCCAGTCGCATAAATATATAATTGGCATCACTGTTGTAATCTATCAAATAGTAAATTTCCACAAGTAACCAGCCTTACGTATATATATCCGCAACATATGTACGTATGTTAAACGTAAGTACACGTAAATAATTTAAGTTAAAAACTGTAATAATGTTAATTTTTTATTATATTATCTTATAATAATTGTTAACAGTACTTACGCCTTTCTTAAAGTGTAATAATTATATTATTAGCGATTTATAAAAAAAGGCTGTGTTGCTTACTGCCATTTTTTCTCGAAAATGTAATAGAATTGTAGTAATTTACTACTAAATGGAGCAAATTTTGAAATTTATTACTTAACAATACTGTTTTGCCTTAATGCCGGGACACAAATACGCCGGTTCTCATGCCGGAGTTTTAACGGCCATATTATTTTTTCTCTCATTCACAAATTTAAAATTTGCATTGAAAACAACAACAATTGTACTCATGCCGTGTCCGAGACACTGCATAACATGGCCCTTGCAATTAAATTTTGACAGATGACTGGAATATTCGTTAAAATATCCAATGAAAGTTCTCTTAGATGATTAGAAATTGCATAACTATCCTGTTAGAGCAAGAGAGTAGTGTAGTTGTTTTGCATACAAATTAGAGACTTTAGTAAGAGACTTGTTGTTTTTTTGGCATACTGTTTGAATGTCATTCATTCTGTGTAGTGTACCAACGCGCGCATATTTAAGCTTCTGTTTTGTGTGTTCGTTGTACAACTTTTTTTTGGTTTTTTTTTTGGTATCGGACCTGGGGGAAAAATCTTCAAAAGACACAAATGGCCCGTACCATTTGCACGACTCAAATTGAGTCATACATGCCTACGGACTAAAAAGTCCCCTACATTCTCAGCACAAAATCCTGAAAATCCCTGCAGTACGACCAGTTAAGGTATTCCTCCACAGGTTCGTTGTACAATTGGGTACCTGTCATTGTCACAACTTGTGTGTCTTGTCTTATTCACTAACAATCAATAATTGTTCATATTTAGATTGGATTTAATCATAATCCATAATTTTCTTCTTACGTTTAATTTCAATTATCCTCTTTTATGTAAACAAAAGAAATAAAACTTTTATTTTAGTTTAAACTAAAATTAATTAATAATTATCAAAATTTAAAATTTTCTGCTTATTAAAATTTAGGATGCTAATTTAAAATTTTTGCTTTTGTGAAACATGATGCATATATAGCCGAATTTATTTATGGCTTGGTAGTCCATTTGCATTAAATAAACTATTATTGAAACGCAACGCAATAGTTAGAATAAATTTTAAAAAATATACATTTCACAACTGTCGCATATGCAGCAATTAAAAGGTCCCAATATATTCTCTTGTTAATATCATCTTGTACTACACATATGGTATCTCATAAACAAGTAATAATAAATGGAAGTGCAATAATTAAACGAGCGACAGTTTGTATTAACATTGCTAAATACTCAACATTTGCATTGGTAATTTTAGCAATTTAAGAATAAAAATCTCATGACTCTGGGTGTCAATGTGTTTTAAGAGTGAAAAACAAACAAATCCAAAACCAAAGCCAAGAGCGCAATTGTATTATTTTATACTCTTGAAATAACTTGTGTTGATATGAATGAGTGAATTATTAGTTTTTCTTGTGCCTTTGTTTAAACTGCATTTTAACCGTTTTCAATAAAATGATTATTTTTCTAGGGATGACAAACAAGTGAAAAATGTTCGCGACATTCAGAAAGAGAAAGAAATAGAGGAGGAATTAAGAGAAAGAAAAAAGGCTGAAAAAAAAGCACGTGAAAAGGAAGATGCCTATCAGCAGAGATTAGCCAATTGGGAACTGAGAGAAAAGCGTAAAACTAAAGAATACGAAAAAGTAAATAAAATTAAAGTATTTAAATATTGTAATTTTATAATAATTACCTAATATCTTTCAAAAAAAAATCGACTTAGACAAATAATAAAGAAGTTTTAAAACGTGAGGAACGGGAAAAGGAAGCAAAGCGGCTAAAGGAGTTTTTAGAGGATTACGACGATGAAAGAGATGACGTGAAGTATTACAAGTACGTAATTAAAACTAAATATATTCAATGCGCACTCAAACAATTATTTTAATGCATTCCTCTTTAGTGCAAGTTATAGGTGAGATAGATTTAATGGTCTCCAGATTCTTACAAGAAAAGTTCTAAGTTTTTAAATCAAAACAAGCAATATCTTAAGGGCAAAAAATTTTTTATTTTTTTTTTAAATACTAAAATGACATAATTACATCTCAGCCGAATATATATTTCATATTGAATTGTCATGAGTGACTAGTGCAAATTGGGACTTAACTGACAAGTTATTTTTAGTAATAAGTTCTACTTAGTTGGGATTGAATTTTTTGGATAACATCTTAAGATATTGCCTAAAGTTATATTCAAATCGCTGTTACGTTCCTATTATTTTGACCGCGCTTTAATTTATAAATAATTTACTAATTTTTGAATTCGAACCACTCGTGTTTTGAGTATTCTTTATTTCGTAAGCTTTTGATTTCCTTGATATAATGATGACAGGTTTTAAACTTAAAACTCTGATGTTTTTGTTAGTCATTTTATTTTTTGTCTTCAGTGTTAGCATTTTTTCAAATTCGGATCATGGTTACCACGATTACGTGATCTGTGCTCGAATCAGGTTATTTCTTCTTTAATTGTTTATTCAAAAATTGAATGTTATACAATCATATAAATTACAATATGTTAGAAATAATGTTTTTGAAATTCCCTCTGTTTTTAACAGTATGTACCAAGTCTCCAATCGTTCTTGACCTAGTCCAGTTTCGGATGTTCCTCCACTAAGACATTTGTTTTCTTCCCATGCCGCGTTTGTCTTCGATTCTGCCTTCCACAATTAGTTGCAGCAATTCATATTTTGGACCTTGAATGATATGACCTCGTTTTTTTATTTTGATAATTTTTAGAAGTTCTCTATCTTTTCTTAATCTTTTTAGAACTTCTTCATTTGTCCGTCCAAGAAATTTTCAGAATACGTCTGTAGCACCACATTTCAAACGCTTCGATTTTGTTCATTGTTAGGATTTTTTAAGTCCAAGATTCCAAGCCATAGAGTAGAGTGGACCAGATATAGCATATAACTTATAGGATACGTAAGTTGATGTTGATATTGCTATTGCATACCCCTTTTTTTGAGTTTCTAGCAATCTCTATTCGACATTTAATTTCTTGGTCTAATGTCCACTCTTCATTTAGCCAGCAACTAAGGTATTTAAACTTAGTTACTTGTTCAATAGCTTCAGTTACAATTTTAATTTTAGCATCGTTGTATGGTAGTCGTTTTTTACTGATAATCATGCACTTCGTTTTTTTTGATTTTCATGGTTAGGCCAAAATCTCTACTCTTATTAACTTTTCAAAGAAGAAGAAAGAAGATCGTCTATACTAACAGCTATGAGTGTTGTGTCGTCTGCGTACCTAATGTTGTTTACAAATATACCATTTACCTTAATGCCTCTGTCTAGAATCAGATTAAAGCACATTCTTGAATACTGTTATATAGAAAGAAAGACGGCACCGACAGACGAGTATTGAAGCCACTTGATGTCGCACTGAACAAAATAACCAGGTCAATATTTAATTCATCTCATCCATTCTAAACAGCTACTTGTATTTCAGTCGCAGATAGAAATTAATGAAATCCACTAGAATTACTAAAGGTGAAAGGTTCGATAGTTTATGACTTACTAATTAAATGAATCACCCCGAGGTAGATGATGTTAAGAACAAATCTATTGCCAAAAAGCACGAACCTGGAAAATCTGTTTAGCAAAAAGTCCATGTTGGTCAGAAGAAAAGAGTATGTATTTACAATTGTACGCTAGTTTATATAAATTAAGAGATGCAACTTCCATTAATTACGGAAGACAGTTTACACAGTCAACGCCGTTCATCCAATCGTGCGATATTTTAGTCCTTTTGCTTATCGCTTTCGATAAGAGGCATAATTGTAATATTTTACTTTCATTTAGTTTCTATAATGAAAATTTAAATATTATAAAAATAATTAATGTATACTTTCATTTATGATATCCTTAACCCATGATTTCCATTACACATTCATATTTATACAAAAAATAAGTATGGTTTTATGTATCTGTACACATATCTAAATTGTAAACAATGTGGAAGAATAAATTTGTCATTAGTAAATCTATGTAAATCTATATCAATTTTAAGATATAATCGCCTATTTTATACATGCTGACAAAAAGCATTACTAAGAAAACATGTTTAACCAATTTTTCATAGGTGCATGTTTTTGTTACTACGTTACTTTAATTCCATTACTCAGTATTATGTACAGCAGTGATGACCTTTTCCCCAGTATTGAACTATTCTTTATCCTGGTATTTTATTAAAAAATCGTTTGCATATTTTGACAAATATGAGTGTCATACATATGTATTTAATATCTTACTAATGCTGTGAGTGATATTATCCTATGGTCTTAGTTCAACATATATAAACTACATTTAGTAATAGCTTAAAACAAGCTTTTGGATGCAGACTGTTTTTATAAAACTGAGTAAAAGAATTAACATAATGCACTACGAATGGTGTATACTTACGTAAAATGATAAGTTAAATAAGTTAAACTTCGAACTTCATTAGGCAAATTTTTAATTTTAACCGCATAGGAATCGAGAACTGCAACGTCGTTTAGCGGAACGAGTTCGAGAAGCTGATATAGATGCAAAGGATAGAAACAAAGAGCAAGAAGAACTTGAGGAACTGAAAAACAAAATATTTAATGGTGAATTTGAAAATCCATCTCTAGAGTATGAAAGAGCTAAAAAAGAGCGTGAAAATCTTTATAAACCACAAATTATTATTGATGTAAATTTGGAAAACATAGCGCGCAAAGAAAAAGAACAAGCACAGTTAAAAGACCAACTTTATTCAACAGTAAAGCGAGATACAAATATTAATAAAACAGCTCAAAGCAAAACAAATTCAAGATCAATAGAGTCTTTCTTACATAGTGAAACTATATTGCAAACAGAATTGGTATCAAATCTTTGTCCCTACAGCAGGCATGGGTCTGAATCATTAGACTATGGAGCTGGTTCAAAGGAAGGTGACAAATTATCCTCTCAATTGCCAAATATATCAAACTTCCACAATGAAACAATTTCAACACCACCAATGTCAGCAACAGTCATAACTCTAAATCTTGGCGCCAATGCAAAAAAAAAGAAAATCGACACAACAGGAGTCTTTAATAATGATGAAGATGTGGATGAATCAAACAATTCCAAAAAACGAAGACTAGTACCATTAGGTAAAACTTAACATTTTTTTTTTAAAACATCCTTATTAAAAATACTTTTAATAGATTACGATGACAAAGGTGAAAAAACTGATCCATCGAGCCCACAAAAATCGAGTTTAACTGGAATGAAAGCATCATTAAAAAAACACTTGAAACATGAATCCGCCCCTGCAGATACAAATAATGTAAAAAAAGAAGAGGTTTTGAAAGTGCATGATGAAAAGCGTCGGCATATTAAAAGTATAATCGATAGAATTCCTACACAAAAAGATGATCTTTTCAGTTACAAACTTGATCGCAATGAAATTGATAATAATTTAATGGAACGTAAGATTCGACCTTGGATAAATAAAAAAATTATTGAATATATTGGAGAACCAGAGCCTACGTTAGTAGATTTTATATGCTCTAAAGTTTTAGCTGGGAGTTCACCACAAAGCATATTAGATGATGTGCAAATGGTAATTATTTTAAATATTTTAGACTTATTATTATTTAATATTCGTATATTGCTTTTATACATTGGTTAGGTTTTAGATGACGAAGCTGAAGTATTTGTTGTAAAAATGTGGAGACTGCTTATTTATGAAGTAGATGCAAAAAAATTTGGAATATGTAAATAAAAGCAAAATACACTACAGACAAACTTACCACTTAAAAAAATTCAAATAAAACACAAAATAAAAATTTATTAACATACTGTAGTTAATTAATATAAGATTGTGGCTGTCCGGGCGTAGCATTTTAGTAGATGTACAGATGTTTGTTGTGAAAAAGTAAGAAATTGAAACTAAGCTTAGCTTACCTGTCCTTTATTTAGTATTTACATATTCCAAGATCCCAGCGTGAGTAAAAATACATGCAGACCATAAGAATTAAAGTCAAATAAAGCAGTAGAGTAACTTATTAAATTCTGAGCTGTTCCAGTATCGAGACCAGCACTGCATTGCAGCAATGATTATATATTTTTGCTATGTATTATTATTAATTGGTCATAAATTTGTGAGGTGCAATAATATAAATTTGTGACAAGTATTTAATAATATTAAATGCTAATACTTATTTAAATTACAATATAAAAAATAAACGTTATTTTTTCCAATTTATTAATTACCAAAAGAATACATTAAAAATACATAATTAGCATTGACATGATGAGCTTATCGTTTCATCATTTTGCATAATATTTAACGTGTTGCCATTGCGCTTAGCATCAAATTGCTCGCAGGATATAATCTGAAAATAAATATATGGTAAATTTCAAAACTACAATAATTTGATGTTATCTTACTTTTTCTACAATATTTTGAAAAACATCTGCAACAAATTGATCACATTTTGCGGAAGTTTCAATAAATAATGATCGATTTTTTCGAGCAAATTTAAGGCCTTCATTTCTGCTCACCACACGATTCTTATCCAATTTATTACCAACTACTATTGTCGGAATGTTCGGATTATCGCTGTAATTTTCTAATTCTATCATCCAACTATCTAATTTTGCAAATGAATCCAGATTTGTTATATCATATACTAATACAGCTCCCATTGCTTTTCTATAAAAACTTGGTGTAAGGCTTCGAAATCGTTCAGCTCCCGCAGTATCCCAAAGAGCTAATTTATAATTCACATCATTTATTTTCATTACTTTCGTTTTAAATTCCATGCCAATTGTTACATCGTAGTTGTCTTCAAATTTATTTTCGATAAACTGACGAACTAAGCTAAATTATTAATATATATATTAAATTATATGTATAACATTGTATTATATGTATATGAATATACAAAAAGTAATATAAATATATATTGTTATGTATGTAAGAACAATAAAATTATTATAATATATTATATTATATAATATAATATAATATAATATAATATAATATAATATAATGCATGATATTCATGAAGTAGTTGCTGCAGATCTTGAAGAATTGCTATTTTCATTGCTGTGTTGATCTCTTGACGCCGTTCAAGTTGTTCCATCATATTGCCCATGAAGTGTATTTGCAAGAATTTATGTTGCGCATTTTCAACAGGTTGCAATGATTCAATATGATGGTGAATCTGGCACTCGCACAAAACAAACATATCAATACTTTCAGCTCATATATTGATGACAGTATTTATTTATTATATTTGAAATTTGAAATATTTGAAAAAAAAAATCAATATAACTTAAACTCGAACTGACAACAGTTTGAAACAGCATTTACAAATTTATTATTTTTGCTAAAATTAGTGGATTTTTCCAATATTTTATAATGTATTCTGCTATTTGGAGCGGAGACGATTCCAACAAATCAAAGAAAATTAAATTCGATCCAGCCGTTCTTGAGTTATAAGTGGTCTAACTAACACGACTTTGTTTTATGTATATATATTATATTATATTATATTATATTATATTATATTATATTATATTATATTATATTATATTATATTATATTAT